AGGACCTGGAGCCAACTCTCAGCACTAGTGAGACCAAACATTCCACACCAGGACACTTGCTTTTATGGAAGATCGTATATATTGCCAGTTTCAGAAGAAACTAAACTAATTAATTTGTAATCTGCCCAGAGTTGTCTCTGGACAATTCATTCATTCATTCACTTTGTCCAGAGACAACTCTGGGCAGCTTACTAATTAATTAATTAATGTTAATTTTCTCTCCTCTTTGCAGATCATAGGGAATAACATCGTAATGGTTATGACAAGAGGAAAGGCAAGATAACTAAAATTATCTGGAAGGATAATTGCTAGTTCATGTGACTTTCTATGCATGCACAAACTGGGAGATATTAGGAAAAGCAAAATTGGAATGAAATAATGTTTTTATTTCCAGCATAGCAACTAAAGTGTAATAGCTTGTATTTCTATATATGCTGTTTCACAGTCCCCAGAGTTACAATTATTTTCTTGCAGTGAGGTACATTAATTTTTTTATTCAACTAAATCTATAAAGAAATCAAGGAATTAAAGTCTGTTCAATGGTATCATGCTGAAAGCTAAGGAGTAAATTCCTTCTTAGGGCAAGAATTTATCACAAAACCAATTCAATTATTCTCTTTATATGCCATACTCTTCTAATTAGAGACCACCTATTCACAGGTATTCAGGTAGTGCAAGTCTTATTAAATAAGGGAAAATAGGCTATAGGGCATGAAAGCTATAGAACTTCATTGGGCAAGGGATGCATAATGCTTCAGTTGTTACTTGTTTCGCTTGTTGGGACTCTTGTTGAGTTAAAGTGATGCTCATTTAGGCAGAATGCAGCAAAATCATGGAAAATAACAGTTTTAATAATACTGGTTCAAATGATGATCTTCAGCTGAGAATGGGGATTTTAAATAGATAAAGAAGTATTCCTTGTAAAATTGTTGTCTAAAAAATGATTTGCTATTCTCCAACCTGCTCTATCGTGTTGCCAAAATTCTACTATTTTTTTTTAATGCTACCTACAAATTGAGACATTTTTCACCTTGAAAATCAGTTTATAAAAGAAAGAAACAAGTTTAGTCTCTTCATCTCTGTATTGTTCAGTCTCTCTATTTCCCTCCCCCATTTTCCAAGACTCATTCCAAGCTGGTAGAGGTGGCTAGCGTGTACTTCTGCTGAAGATGATATCAGGAACTTTGAAGTAGAACAGCGTGAGAAAGCAATTAAAATGTAACTAGAAAACTCTGCATTCAAATTTAATTCTTACCATCTCTTAGGTTCAAACTTCAAAACCAGATGATCGGAATATTTTCAGTTTGACAAGGTGAGAAGGAGCTTAGCACTTAGGAACACTTTATAGTCTTTTGTTATGGCATTTATTATAACATTTAGTCATTTGCTGCTTTCCTGTATGAGCATTCATTTCCATTTTACAAAGAATACATCTAAAAACAATATAAACAAGAGAAATGGTAAAAAGAGAATATGGATAGAAGTGTGACAAGGTATAGAGAAAAAGAAAAAGATAGAAAAAGAAAAGAAAACACAAATATATACAAAGCATGACTTCTGAGGTCTTCTTTCAAGAATATAAAGGACACTTACATTCAACTCTTAGTTTAAGACTATAATAAAATGTCTATTTTCCACAAAAAAGAAAAGGGGAAATTAAAAAAACCTCTTTTCTCTTTTTTTAAATTTAAGAATCATCAAATCCATATGTCAATTTTATTTTTCCCATCTCCTGCAAAATGTCCACTGAGGACTTCTAATTATAGATGAATTTCTTCAGTGACTTTTCTCTCACAAGAGCTGTTAACTTGGCCTTCATTGTCAGTTCTGTCACCTTTATTAATTATTCCCCTATTGTGGGTGTCATAGGATCTTTCCAACCCTAAGCATATAAAAGTTATGCTGCTGTTATCATATATAACAATAAATCACCAATCACATGCAGTTTTTTCACTGTTTTGTCCATAGATCCTTTTTGTTAAAGGTTTCTAATCTAAATTGTACATTAATGTTCAATTTTTTTAATTATCTTACTAATTTCCATCCAATATTGTTTAGCTCTTTTACAAGTCCACCAAAGGTGATAAAAGATTCCTATTTGAGTCTGACACTTCCAGCAACTATTTGGGGATACATTTTAGCCATTGTATCTGGGGTTAAATATCATCTATACATCATTTTATAGCAATTCTCTTTGAGGTTAAATTGCAGTTCCTTTATCTACATATTTTCCCATTGATCAATTGGTATGTTATATTGAATTTTTTTTGCCCAGCTTATCATGCAATTTTTAAATAATTCATCTTCTGTTTCTGATTTTAACAAAAGCTTATATATTTTAGTGATAAGGTGGTCATCATTTATACACGGTTTCATTTCAAAGATAGTTTTACCATGTTTGAAATTGTATAATTTCTTACCAACTTTACACCTCTCTATGAGTCACAAATACGAAAACCATTGACAATTGAAACCTAGTGCTGGGTATTCTCTGGATTTTACTTTAGTATCATCTGTGGAGTATTCCAATAAATCTGCATGCCATAACTATTTTTGTCTGATCCTTTTCTATAATATGTTTTGTGGAGAGAAAACCATAAAGGCATTTTTGGGCATAGTCTCATATTTACAGTATTCCAAATTCTCAAAATGGCTCACCTAATAAAGTGGTTTCTAAAATCAAGATTAAACTTTAACCTTATGTACCATCCATATGCCTGCCATGCCCTGCCAGTTTGTAGCCTTAAAGGATAACTCCAGAAGAGTTCTGCCAGAGTTCCCCTGACCTTTTAGATCTATTTTCCCTCCGCTCTCTGGCTTATTGCTTATTATTATCCAAAGCCCTCTCTTTGACAAATGAACAGAGATGTGATTCATGGAAGTTCTGGTGATAGCCTGCTATTTTATTGTTTGGCGGAGAGTGTTATTTATTATGCTTAGTCTCTCATGGGTAGTTGCATTTCACTGTAGGTTACTATTCCTATTCCTATCACAGTCTCAGCAGATATGCAAGAAAATGGTCAATTGAATTTAGGCATAGTGGTTTTTGCTGGGTAATTTTTTCATTGCCAATAAAACTGACAAGAGAATTAAATGAGCCTGCTTGCGAAGCGGGCAGCTTATTCTCCTGCAGCAGGATTGTTGACAAATTATTCAAAAGTAATCTTGCAGTGTATCAACTTTTATTCATTTCTTTGTGTCTGTGCATTGTTTTGGAAATGGAGTGCTGTGTGGGTATTAGGCAGCAAATTCTATTTGGCAATATCCTGTTGGAAGTCTATGGCAAGAGTAGAGGAGTCTGGATATGTTTGTACATGTATTCCTTTTATCAGTCACTGCTGCTCGACAGAGAATGGCATGGTAGGAAACTGGAAGATGCTTAAATGGCCAAACTTCTCTGTTTTTCAGGTCAGGCGTGTATTTCCTGGACATTCATGTCAGCAAATAAGGACCTATGGGCCTGGAGGAGCTGACATTTAGCAGCTCTTTCATAATAATTAAAGTATGCTGGTTTCTAAATTATAAAAAGTATTTCTTTCTACATCAGGGGTCCTCAACCTTGGCAACTTTTAAGACTTGTGGACTTCAACTCCCAGAATTCCTGAGCCAGCATGGCTCAGCTTTGAAACTCTCCCTTTTCCCTCAGCATGGCTGGCTCAGGAATTCTGGGAGTTGAAGTCCACCAGTCACAAAAGAGCCAAGGTTGCCTACCCCTGTTCTACATGATCCAGCATTCTGGAATAGAGGCAGATATTTGCATTCACTCGAGCAGGCTTTAAGGTTACGTAACCAAATCTGAGAAGTCTCATTTTCTCTTGTGCTTATCTCTTAGGGAAAGCAGATATAAACTTCTATCGTTCTGAGATATGGTGGTACTATCTGCTATTACTGTATGTTGCTCTTCATGAGATTGATTGATTGCATATACGTTGTCAGTGTAGTGCCGACTCTTAGTGTCCATATAGATAGATTTTCTCCATGATAATGTGTCCTGAACCTGGACCTTCAGCCGTTCCATTGCTGTGCTCATTGCCATTGTAATTGAGTCCATCCACCTTGCTGCTTGGTCATCCTTTTTCTTTCCTCCTTTCCCAGGATCAGAGCCTTTGCCAGAGGGCTGGGTATTTGCAAACTATGTTTGAATCAGAGTACTGATAGGTTATTACTTTGCAAAATAATTACTTCTGCAATTTTAGAAATGGGGTTAATTATATATGTATGCATCAGGGGTTTTTTTGGCATTTCAAAGCAATATGCAATTAGCACAAACAAAACCGAAAATATGTTTAAAACTAAGTAAAAGAACAATTTTAAAAGTGCAATTAAAAACAATTTTCAGTTTGGCATTGAAAGATTGTAGCATAGATGCCAAGAAACTGTGCTAAAATGCTCTTTCTCCTGCAATTGAGCTTTTCTTTCATAATGCCTCTGATAAAAGGTTCATCTGGAGAAGACCTTTGTAATTATGCACTTGGAGAACATAAATAAGAAAGAACAGTTGTAGGGATATCTCCACACACCTTTGAAAGACAATATAAAAGTACATTTTACCAAGTTTCCATCTTCCGATCAGTCTTTTCAAAATTTTCTTGTTCTGTTGTGTTGGATGCTTCATACGATTTCAGTCTTTTAATCTGCTAAACTGAATTTGGGAATCCTTAACCTCTCAATTTAGTCTCCAACAGACATTGATGAGGATGGGGGCATTTCTAATGCCATGGACCACAAATCAAATTGGGAATAAAAACCATAATGCATCTTTTATACAGACTGTATATCTAATTGAATTATTTATTTTAATTAAAATAATTTAATTCATTCATTAATTAATACTTAAATAATAACTCATTTGTTCTCTTTTTTTTCAGCAGATTTGAGACTTTTGTAATCTTGGAGTTGAGTTCCCCATAGAGAACTGTATGACGTTGGGGTTATGTATTTCAGATATAATGGTATTTAGCATGTTGACGTTTAATTTCCATTGTGTTTTTGGGTTTCAGGTTTTGGAAGTGGTGCGCTCCAACTATGATACACTTACCTTAAAATTACAAGATGGGCTTGACCAATATGAGCGCTACTCAGAACAACACAAAGAAGCCTCTTTCTTTAAAGAGCTGGTGAGTTTTAACTTTCTCATAAAAGGGTCATATAATTGGCTCATGATCGAGCTTACAGTTGCAGCAATAATGCAACAAAAACTGCCTGTATATTCACAAAATGTATGAATTATATCACTGTAGAGGCCTGGTTATTGATTTCAGTTGGATGGTGGGCAAGTATATTTAAATACATGTTTTATCTCTCTGGGATTCCTTGAAGTCTTGAAGAAAGTTGGGAGACTTTTCTCCAAAGACTTTTCATGAAGACTTTTCTCCAAAGCAGAGATATCCCGTGCTTACTAGATCGGCATTTTACAATAGATCTATTGATAAGGAGGAATAAAAATGTTTTCTCCCCAAGCAGACTCTGCTGTAATTTGAAATGCTCTATTAGGATATCCAATTCTCACAAGTTGTGCGTACCAAGAACTGACTGCTTATTGGGCTTGTGCAAGCAGCCTTGATTCATTTTGACAAGGTGCTTTGCACTATGAAAATGAGGCCATTTACCTCATTGAGATGAAGTGGCAATAGGAATTGCCTGGGCATGATGCCCTTATACCTTTTGATATTTGCAAAAGTCACTTTAGTCAGGAGGAATTGTGCTGCTTTGGGAAGCACTTTCAAGGGGATACGTCACTAAACCTTCATTGATAGGCACAGCTTAGTTTCCTATTCCCCCACCGCTCCAAAATGTTTTTTTCCACTTAAACTTATTCCTGTGCTTTATTGGGCATTCCTTGCCAGGTTATTCCTATATTCTTCATTGCAAATATAAAACAATGGCTGCTAGCTGCCATTAATGCTTTTCATTTGTACAATACTGTATCATGATAGTAACCTGTTCCTAAATTATGGAGATTCTCAGTCATCCAGGTCATGGTTGTCCCAAAGGTGCTTTTTCAAGAAGCAATTAGACTTCCTTGTTTTTCTCTGAAGATGTTTGGTTTGTCATCCAAGAAGCTGAAGAGAAGGGGGGGGGAAAGCATCTTTGGGCTTTTCCTAAATTACATGGAAACAACCATGATGCTTGTTCCCAACTGTGTAGCAGGAGCACTCTTATCCTCAAATGCTGTGTTTGAGGGTAGGAGGGAGCAAATGTGCTGCTTCTGTTCTCTCTCTTTTCCTTTGGCCACTGTCACTTTTTTGTAATATCCTTTTATTCATTAGGTGAAGAGCTTTATCTTTGTTTTGATTAAAATGAGGACATTGTTTTTCCTAATTCATGGAAATTGTGGTTCTTTGAAGAAACTATTCTGATAAACACTAAGAGTTCAAATCTTTATCACTGAGAATAATTCATATCACTGCCAACAAATGTTTCTCTTTCTCTCTCTGTCTCTGTCTCTCTGTCTCTCTCTCTGTCTCTCTCTCTCTCTGTCTCTCTCTCTGTGACTCTCCCTCTCTCCCTCCCTCCCTCCCTCCCCCTTTTTCTCTCCCTCCCTCTCCCTCCCTCCCTCCCTCTCACCAATTTTCCATTTGGTGATTAAACATCAACCAGTTTAATTTATTTATAGAGGAATATTTATCTCTATTTACCTAGAGACTAATTTAGGCTCATCCAAGCCAACCCTTTACTGAAAACTACAACCTCCTGATATTGCATTTTCTGAGTTCACTTTCAAAGTAGAAGAAAGGGATCAAGCTGATCCAGTGTAATCCTCTGCTGACAAAATACCTTACTTCTCTTTTTACCATTACAATGTTTTTTTTTCTTTTAGGTTCACAAATATGATGGACCTTCTCTAGAATATATATTTTCGTAAGATTTTGTCACATAGGTTGCTGAATAAGGTCAAAGCATGTGGATCCCTCTTCTACTGTTTACCTTTTGTACAAAGTGTACTTTTCTAACTTATTCATTTATTGTGATTATTTTATTTAAGATTGTTTTTCATTGTTCTCTCGTAAAACACTCTGAGCTCCCCAGAGGGAAAACCAATGTAGAAACAGCATAAATAAAAACTGTGCAGAATGATAGCATAATAGACAAATGCAAAAGCCGCCGCCTCACTCTTCCTTACAATGTATAGATGTTTGTATCAATCGTAGTCATCTCCCAATTTCCATGACTGCAGGACTTTTCCAAGCTGTGGACCAGACTCTTGGTATATGGTTTCATCCTGAATTTACCTCCACGTGATTCTGCTCATTTCCCCAAAACTCTGCTTGGTCACACTAGAATAGAATAGAATAGAATAGAATAGAATAGAGTAGAGTAGAGTAGAGTAGAGTAGAGTAGAGTAGAGTAGAGTAGAGTAGAGTAGAGTAGAGTAGAGTAGAGTAGAGTAGAGTAGAGTAGAGTAGAGTAGAATAGAATAATGAAAGAACGGAACAGAACAGAACAGAATAGAATAGAATAACAGAACTTTGGAGGTCTTCTGGTCCAGCCCCCTGCTCAAGCAGGAGAACCTATACCATTTCAGACAAGTGACTGTCTAGTCTCTTCTTAAAAACCTTCAGTGATGGAGCGCCCACGATTTCTGAAGGCAAGCTGTTCCACTGGCTAATTGTCTTCTTAATTCCAGGTTGCTTCTCTCTTTGGTCAGTTTCCGACCATTGTTTCTTGTCTTGCCCTCTGGTGCTTTGGAGAATAGTTTGACGCCCTCTTCTTTGTGGCAGCTCCTCAAATACTGGAATACTGTTATCATGTTGCCCCTATTTCTTCTTTTATTTAGACTAGCCAAACCCAAGTCCTGCAGCTGTTCTTCATATGTTTTAGTCTCCAGCCCTTTGGCCATTTTAGTTGCTCTTCTCTGAACTTTTTCCAAGGTCTCAACATCTTTTTTGTAGTATGGTGACCAAAATTGGTTGCAGTATTCCAGGTGTGGTCTTACTAGGGTTTTATGAAGCGGTACTAATACTTCACGTGATCTTGATTCTATGCCTCTGTTTATACAACCCAGGATTGTATTAGCTTTTTTGGCTGCTGCTGCACACTGCTGGTTCATAGTCAAGTGATTATCCACTAGGACTCCAAGGTCCCTCTCACAGTTACTGTTTTTGAGCCAGGTCTCACCTAGTCTGTACTTGTACCTTTGATTTTTCCTGCCTAAATGTTAAACTTGGCTTTTCTCCACATTAAAATTCATTTTGTTGGATAGAGCCCATTGTTCGTCAAGATTTTGTATGGATCCTGACCTTGTCTTCTGGGGTGTTGGCTATTCCTGCCAGCTTAGTGTCATCTGCAAATTTGATGAGTTCCCCTTCTATTCCCTCATCTAAGCATAATGAAGCAGAGTTTTGGGGAAATGAGCAGAATCATATGGAAGTAAATTCAGGAAATAATCATATACTAAGAGTCTGACCCACAGCTTGTAAAAGTCGTGCAATCATGAAAATTGGGAGATGACTAAGATTGATAAAAACATTTGTACAAAACTAACTTTTTAAAGTAGGTCAAACCCTGTAACTTACAAAACTTTAAGAATTTGACTACTTAAAAAAACTTATGTTCTAGTTGAATTCTCTCATTTGCTTTTCTATTTTCTCTTGAAGGGTCTGTTAACTTCTTGAATGAATGAACCACTGATAGACATGGTTTAGCGTTAACAAATGAAGTGGCTTATTAGATATTCAAACTGGTTGTTTGATTGGTATGCACTGCTTGTTCAAATAAGAATTTTCCTTGTTAATGGAACCATAATATGCTTGCCCTTGGATAGCTTTATAGATACATATCTATGTCTTTATTCGGGGGCAGGCATGTGGAACTAATTGATTGAAGAAAAAAATTAATATCACTGTGTGGAAAGTACCTAGTGAAAGGAATGAAAATACATATCTGTTGTTAAATAAAGTATAGGAAAGATTTGATAAATTCATCGTTGCTCAGGATAGGAATGCCTTCTTGTCATGTCTGGGCTTGTAGACTAAGCCTTGACACTGGGTTATGCTTCTTTTTTCATATAGATATTTTTATGCAGCTAACGCTACAGTATAATCACAAAAGCTCTTTTTTTGCATCTAGTAGTAATGCAAACTGCATCTAACAAATATGGACTTCCATGCAAAACAGTCTACTGCACTGAACACTGGCCTATTCAAGGCCCCCTTAATGCTGGAGTACTGGGCCAAAAGTATGACGAAAGGGATATTATAATTATTGTTCTGTCTCCTACAGGTTCGGTCCATCAGCATCAATGTACGGCGAAATCTGGCATTCAACACCCTTAGCCAGGAAGTCCTGCTAAAAGAGTTTTCAACCATCTCCTGAAGTTATCTACTTGCTTCATAACTAGTCCTGGTATTACCGTATCACTTCCTGCAGAATAGCTCCTGGATGTGGAACAGTCTAACTCTACTGTGTGGTTTTGTTTTTGTTAAGTTTTGTTTTTACAGAGAAGATCAAGGGAAGGCCTAGACTTACCCCATACTCTTGAGCATAGAGAATTAACAATATAGACTGCATTGGGAGTGGGAAAGAAGGGGCATGGGGTTATTTCTCTTTTTTAATTTCTTTGTGACAACTGTTGTGTAGAGATAAGAATTGTTTACTGAGTGAGCAAGAATAGAGCAGAAGAGTGTTGCTTAGAGAGTTCATAATGGTTCTCTGAAGACTGCTGAAGACTGAAGCAAGAAAGGGGAACAGGAACCAAGGTCTTGATAATATGGAACTGTCTGGTTGGACACTTATTTTATGTAAATTTGTACTTGGATGCTTTGAATCTGCAGTTCATGTATATTGTTAGGTCCATTTTAGTCGGTGCGGAAATTAACAGCTACGGGCTCTGTCTTCATTCTGCACAAGGCCTCCTACTATTCTAATGGTCTTGACAGAACTCCACCTCAGGATGGTCTTGGTGCCCAACCTAAAGCTCTCGCTGTCTGGAGTTTCTTGGTTGAGAGATTACCTCTATGAGTTTATTCTTACTATTCCACTGTGCCATGTTTTAAAACCTTGGGAATGAAGATATTAAGATGTATCAGTGATTTTTTCCCCCAAAGGAGCAATAAGGGAAAACATTGTATTGTTTTACTTCTACCATTGTTGTGCATCAAAAGAAGCCGGTTCTTCCTGTACCCAGAAGATTGACTGAGCTCTTGCCCTAGATCCTTAACTTCTTTCTGGCCTGGTAGCCTTAGGTTCTCTACATACTGGTAGGGTAATTGAGTGCTCCCATCAGACTTGCCACTGTCCTTTCTATCAAAAATAACCTCTGTGAATTCCACAGTGATTGCAGATGTTTAAGTCAGTTCACAATTTATGTATTCCAATAAAGTACTTCATTGGAAATTCAGAATTAAAATAATAATTTGTCTACTTTATCAGTTCTTACTTTTTTTTTAAAAGGAATATTTATTTGGGAGGGGAAATATATTTATAGTCATTCTTTACTCCTGTCCATCAAACGAAATAACTCATGCGAACTAGAGTTGTACAATTATTCTGTCAATTTTTTTTCATTATTTGCAGGATTTCTTTTCCAGCCATTTTTAATGAAAATGATAACTAAGACACTTAGTTTTTTGCATTGTATGTAAAGAATTCACACAACTGCACTTTGTTGGAAAATTAAAAGTTGTGATTCTGGCATTCTGTGCTCCTTATATAGGTATGTTCTTAGATTTGTAACATATGGCAATATTAATTTTTGATTCAAGATGTATTCAGTATTCCCCAAATTCATATTATCTTTTTTCTTTCCAAACCACTTTGGCCATTCTTACTAACAGAATGATAACCAGAGAGATTTCAGTTCAGAGACGACTATAATTTGGGGTAAATTCTTGCTATTTTGAACAGATTGGAGAAAACCCTGGGCTCTTCTCTTAACCCACTGATGAACTCACCTATTCCTGGTATTAAATATGAGTTTAGAGATGCAAAGGACATCTTCTAGAACAGGGGTAGGCAACCTTGGCTCTTTTATGACTCGTGGACTTCAACTCCCAGAATTCCTGAGCCAGCATGGGTCACGAGTCATAAAAGAGCCAAGGTTGCCTACCCCTGTTCTAGAAGAAAGGCTACAGAGGTTGTGCTGCCCAATAGCACCTTCCAGAGGCTATCATTAGAACTCAGTAAAGGGTTGGAAGGGATTACAATATCCATGGCCTTTTTGCAGACAATGTATTTTTTGTGAATCATTTGGGGAGTAATATTATGACCTCTACTAGTATTTCCTTGGTACATAGCTGGTATATCTGGTATATCATAGCTGATAAATGTGCACAGATTGCATAATCTTTATTTTAGGATCCTTAACATCTAATTAAAGCCTAGACTTGAACATTTGTGTTGGAGAGAAAATGGAGTTGAAAATGTGGCAATTTTTCATTTAATTCAAGATTTCGGTATAAATTGCTTATTGCATCCATTTTCTCCCAGGTGACTTGGACTGCGCCTTACTTAGCTGGCTTGGAAGAATAATACCAGTATCCTCTGACTTTAACAGGGGATGTCTACCACTCTTCCCCAGAGTAAGATAGATAAGATAAGATAAGATAGCCTTTATTGTCATTTTTTTACTGTGGGCACAACGGCACATATCAAAAATGAAATTTAGTTGCCCGCTCTCAAGTGAAACACATACACAACACACAGCTAAACATACTATGAACAACATATGTATAGATCCACACCCCTACATATACGTAGCAAATAAATATTAAATACTGTCCATCTTGAATATATAATGGAAGGAGGAAGCTTGAGAGTTCACAAGGTTAATGCTGTATGGAATGAAACTATGGCTGAATCTGGATGTAGCAGCATTTACTCCTTCCTCCAGTATTCCAACTTTCAAAAGGGTTGTAGAAACCTTTCTAGTAATGTGGGAAAAATTGAGGCCAATATTTTCCTGAGTTTTAAGGGTGAGAATAGTAGTGGGAACTTCTGGGACCTCTGCTCCTACCTCTACCTTTAAACCCACTCATCTCCCAATCCTTGAAAAATGCTCCAGCCTTGCCATTTCCTGGCTAAACTGAGGTTGCTTTTAGGGCTTGAAGAAATAATTATTTGCTTCTGGCTTCCTGCTTCCTTCCTTCTCCTTAAAGCCTCACCACAAAGTATAAAATCATCCTAAAAAATGAGAAATTCAGCCATTCTTCAGATTTAGTAGTTAAAGACCTTCCATTCCCATTCTATTTTAATTTTTAAATCAAAACAAAATATGCTGCCAAAATATTGGCTTTTTTGTTGCAGAAATTTAGCTTAAAGAACAGCAAATAGGGTAATGGCATTTGAATCAGCATTCATTTCACAACCTGAGAGTTGCCTATTCCTATTACATAATTTATTCCAGCTACACCTTTTCATTGCATAAAGTTATCTCATGCCACTGCATTTACTACTTCTGATAGAGGTTCACACTCGGGGGGGGGGTATATTTAATGGTAGTGAGAAACTAAGATGGGGTGTGGTTTAGAATTTCCACAGATCTATTTGAACATCTGAATAAGTCTTACAATTGTTAATTTATAGTTGCCCTCACAATTGGTTTAGGTTCATCTGAGGTGCTACAATACTGGGTAAATAGAATGATAGGTGCCAGGAGACAAATATATTAACCTATAATGACTAAACCTGTCTGTGAGAGGTTGGTTAAATAAAATACTCGGGCTATTTAATTTATCTAGCTTCTCCCCACCCAACATGACTCTGTTTTAGTATAAGTTTTTTTTTTTTCATTTCAAGTGAAAGCTTCCATTGGTATGCATGCAGACAAATGCACATATATACAGAACAGCTTCTCCACCTTTAGTTCTGCTACTGCAACCTAAGCATCCCGTTCGTTTGTTTGTTTAATATAACCACCCATCTCCCATATATGACTCTTAGTGGCTTACAAAATTAAAAGCACTAAAATAATACCAAAAATAACCAGAATCATAACAAGGACAAAAAAAATAAAACTATTAAAACCAAACAAACATAATCTACAAGAGAGCACAATCAATTGTTCTAATACTTTGTATGTTCCACAGCACCACTACAGATCCCCAGGCAGGATGGCAAAGCCACCTCTTCAGGTCCTTCCAGAAGGCCAAGAAGATGTGGGCTACTCTGACCTCAGGAATGATGTTCCAGAGGGTGGTTGCCAGGGCAGAATAGATTCTTGCCCTGGGTCCCCTCAGATGAGAGTCTTTCATGAATAGGACCCACAATAAGTCCTTTCTATTGGACCTAATGGAATGGGTAGATATAGATTTTTTTTCGCTTGAGAAGCCTCACTTTTTAAAAATAGACATTTTCAAAGTTGCCTTTAGTTGAATTATGGATAAAGATGGGAAGTTTGAAACCTTATAGCTTAAAAAACGTACTTATGGGTTTTCTCTAAATCAATGCTGAGGAGATCCCTGAAATATCCTCGCATTCTCAACAAAATCTAGCCTGCCAGTATGCAGTAGTGGAAGTATATTTATCACTGATCATAAAGGCAATTGCTAGTTGCAGAACATCTTGAAACAAAGCTTTTAAACTGCTAAAATTGGGTTATTCATCTGTAGTTCTAGAAATTTCTAGAGCAAAATTTGAGGTTTGGAATATTCTAGTAAACTACAAAAGTATTAATTGGAGTCCAAACTATAGTGATGACCCAGAGAAAAAAAGAATCTACACTGCTTGCAAGAATCACTCTTCTATAGTTGGTGTACCTGTATGATGATGTGCAAATCTGTGTAACTGCTTCTTTTTCTATATTTTTAAACCTTTTTTTATATATAAAATCCATTAGGTAAGGCAGTTTTGGAGGCTGCATAAGTCTCAGCATAGTGATTAATCTACAAGATAGGTAGCAACTCAGTCATTACCGGGATTCATGCCTTCCTACATACATTTATCAGGAGATTTTTCAGTCAATAGATTACTTGCAATTCTGTAACCTGGTAGTATATTGATGGATATTCCAAGTCTAGCTAAAGTCAGAAGCATTTGGGAGCAGGAATCCAATAGGCTTCATCACTCTCCTGGCCTACAACAGTTAGTTTGATAATCCAGTTGAAGCATCCATGTAACTGCTTGGAGTGAAGGTGGTGGAGCCAAATTGATTGGCATATTTTCAGGGTCTGCATTCTTTTTTTCTTTCCTCTTTCTTTCAGTATGATGGGTTCCTTTCATATTGTAAGCCTCCTGACGAGGAAGTGACAAGGAATGTAAAACGCTGTCTTGTCTTCAACTGTGTAGAATGTGAATGTGGCCAAATTTCCCTGCAAAACTGGGCCGAATTTCCACTGTATAAGTACTCAGAAAACAAGCTGTCTCTGTGAACCGTAAGACATTAGGCCTATTCTCATTATAAGCCTGAATGTGCTTTTCTTGGCTGCCTTTATGATGGCGATTAGCATTTCGCTTATAGCCTTCTGCATATTTATCTGTTCAATAACTTTCCCTCAAGGGCAGAATTTAAACACTGTTTGCTCTGATGGAAACTTGCCTAGCACAGTACCACTGTTGCAATACTCACTACACATCCCTAGACTTATTACGAAACACAAATTTGGTACATGATTCACACTGGAGAGGAGAGCATGTTTCATAGTGAAGAATAAGAATGAAGAAGAGCCAGTTTGGTGTAATGGTGAAAATGTTGGCCTAGATCAGGGATCTGCAATCTTGACAACTTTAAGACGTGTGGACTTCAGCTCCCAGAATTCCTCAGCCAGCTATGTTTGCATGCTCCTTTGTGAACCTCAAGCAAGTCAGTGGAGCCAGGTCTTCAGATACTTCCCAAAGGCCAGGAGAATGGGGCCCGCCTCACCTTGGGGAGGGGGGGAGAATATTCAAAGGGTAGGAGTGATGACAGAGAAGGCTCTCTTCCTGGACCTAATAGCAATTGAGGATAAGAAATAAGTCCAAGAGCTGCTGTCACACACTGCAGTTTGGGATTTGGATATGTAAATATGTACACTCTTATTCCTTGGCTCCCATGGAATCATACTACTAAGGAGGAGGCCTCTTGTTTTCCCTTATCCTCTTGAGCCCAAAGAAAGGAAAATTAGACTATAATGGCCAATTAAATAACAGCTCTTGCTAGTGCCTAGTGTGAACAGTGTAAAGGCAAGAGTTGTTCAAATAAAAGTGAATACATTAAATAATTAGCAATTTATTAAACACAACTCTAAGGTGGTCCTACTCTACAAAATATTTGCAGTACAATACAAGATTGAAGCTAGGGTTCCTCCTTCATAATTGTGAGGATGGGGGGGGATGAAGAAAACATGGAGCAAACTACATGTATAAAAGTCATAGGGGATTGCCATAATTTGGACTGTGTGTTGCTTCTTTTATGTTTGTTGGCTGTGGATCTCAACACTTTGTTCTTGAAGAAGTGCTACTTTATATACCTATTGGACACATGACTGGCATTATGACAGGTTTGTACTAATTTATCATCAATCCATATGACATGCCAAGAAAGAATTCCATTAAAGACACATCCGATTTTAGTTACAC